GCATACCTCCTTACCCACCAGGCCATCTAGACTTCCTTAAGCCACTTTTGCAAATATCAATGCATATAGCATGCGCCAGAATGTGAAAAATTTACAGAATGCAGAGAACCATGTGAGGAAGGACAATAGTACTTTATAACATTGAGGTACTAGAGAATAAAAATGTAAAAATTGAAGTTTTCCATTTAATAGTTAGACCTGCTAATAGTCAAGTTCCATGAAACATATGAGAACTTCTAGCAACATAATCATAAACCCCCCAAAACAAATTCACAGCTTTTGAGTCACTATGACTTAATTGATTTCCAAGAATTTATAGGAGACATCACGCGTTTTTCTTATAAAGAGCAACTGGTGGATTTTAATTGCCAATTTGCCAATTTGAATTGCCAGTTAGCAGCCTGACATGTTATGCACTATGCCATCAAAACTCCCAAAGAAAGAAATAAAACCTTAATTCAAACGCACTACCATCTAGTCCATTACGGCTCATGGTGACCCTCAATTTGGTTTCTGAGATTATAAATCTTAAAGTGAAGAATCTATCTTTTTCTCATGGAGTTACTGGTTGCTTCAAACCCAAGACATTACACTAAACAGCACAATACACTACAGACTACATCACAGACTCCTAACATAATAATTGTTGTTGTGTTGTTAAGTGCCATCACTTGCGACTCATAGCGACCCTATGTACAAAAGCCCTAAATGCCACTCTATCCTGTGCCAACCTCACCGTCTCAAACACACTCATTCCCACCACCCCAATCACAGAATCAATCCATCTTATTGAGGGTCTTCCTCTCCTGCACCGTCACTCAGTTCTCCCAAACATGATGTCCTTCTCCAAGGACCAGTCCCTCCGTACAACATGCCCAAAGTATGTCAGACGAAGCTTCAGAATCCTTGACTCCAAGGAGCATTATGGATTCACCCTCTCCAGGAAAAACCTGTTTGTTCTCCTAGCAGTACATGGTATATTCCACACTCTTCTCCAGCACCACAGCTCAAAGGCTATTCATTGTCCAACTTTCCCATAACACGTAATTGCAAAGACCACAGCCTGGATCAGGTGCACCTTAGTCTCCAGCCCGACATCATTGCTCTTCAGTACTCTTGAGAGGTCCCTCACAGGTGACTTTCCCAATGCAATTTATCTCCTGATTTCCTGGCTGCTGTTACCAAGAGTGTTGACTGTGGAGCCAAGTATACTAAAACTGTTAACTATTTCAATCTCTTCACTATCCATCCTGATGCTGCCCATTGGCCCAGTGGTGATAATCTTTGTTTTCTTGATGCTGAGCTTCAATCCATATTGAAGGCTGCAGTCCTTGACTTTCTGTAGCAAGTGCTTCAGGTCCTCCTCAGTTTTAGCAAGCAGGGTTGTATCATCTGTATAATGCAAGTTGTTTGATGATTCTTCCATCCTGATGCCACATTTCTGCTCGTAGGGCCCAGCATCTCGGATGATCTGTTCTGCATACAGATTGAAAAGCCAAAATACATCCCTGACGGACCCCTTTCTTGATTTTGAACCATCCAGTATCTCCCTGCTCTGTTCTGACGACTGCCTCTTGGTCCAAGTATAGCTTTCACATTGGCACAATCAAGTGTTCTGGGATTCCCACTCTTCTCAGAGTCAGCCATAGCTTGTTTTGATCCACCCAGTCAAACGCCTTTGCAGAGTCAATGAAGCACAGATAGACACTCTTCTGGTATTCTCTGCTTTCTGCAAGATCCATCTAACATTAGCTATAGTATCCCTAGTACCACGACCTCCTCTAAATCCAGCCTGCACATATGGCAGTTCTCTGATGACATATTGTTCCAAAAGTTTTTGGATAATTTTCAGCAGAATCTTGCTTGCATGTGATATCAATGATACTGTTCAATAATTTCCACACTCTGTTGGGTCACCTTTCTTTGGAATGGGAACAAATATTGATCTCTTCCAGTCAGTTGGCCAGCTGGCTGTCCTCCAAATTTCCTAGCATAACTTAGTGAGCACATCCAGGTCAGCGTCTGTTTGTTGAAATAAATCCAATGATATGCTGTCAACTCCTGGAGCCTTGTTTTTTACCAATTCCTTCAGAGCAAATTGAACTTCCTCCTTCATCATCATAGGCCCTTGCTCATATATTATTTCATGAAATTCCTCTGTGTCAGCCAATGCCTTCTGATACAGTGACTCTGTGTACTCCTTCCATCTTCTTTTGATACTTCCTAGATCATTTAACATTCTACTCGAACTATAGTAACATAGTAATATGCACTGATAATTCAGAAAGTACGTGTTAAATTTGTGTGGATCATTGATTCACTTGCCTAACTCCTTTTTTTGGGAAAAAAATTAAAATATTTTTTAATACTGGTTTGCTTGCAAAGTTTGTATACATTGTTTTCCATACCAGATCTTTCCCATTTCCTTTATCTACCCTTCCCTACACCCATCAAATTGCGTGACCTTTGATTAACTGTAAAAAAAATTAAAAACCAAAGAGTTCAGAGGCTATATATTAATAAACTAACATGACTACTGACTAGAATGTTGAAAATTTTTTTTGCACGTTTTATATTCATTTGTTTTCAACAAACTTATCTAGGTGTCAGTTGTCAAAACCATCCAGCGATTTCAAAGCTTACACTAAACTACAGAATAATGAATATCTAAAAATTCAATGTATCTCACTCTAAACATAAGCTTATCTGAATGTTACTTACTAGAGAATTGAAACTCAAAATCAAACCCACTGTTATCTGGTTGGAACCAAATTATAATTAAGGTTTCATTGGGTTTCTAAAGCTATGAATTACCTGAGATTCCCCATCTTTCTGCCTATAAAGTAGCTGATATATTTGAACCATTAGAGAGATAGATTGCCTTTGGGTTAGTAGTGCACCTCCCTGTGGCCTATGCCACTAGAGTTCTCTGTGTAAGAGTTACTAGTACATACTTCTGTAAAATAGAGATTGATGTTAAGTGCTGTTGAGTCATAGACGACTCATAGCAACCCTATGCACAAATGACCTGAATACTTGTATAACTTTCATCATTTCTCCAAGTTCATAGGGTTTCCGGAGGCAAGCTATTTCCAAAGTGGATCCCACTCCTGCTTCCAAAAAAAATAGAGATTATGCAAAATAAAACATACAGCCAATTGGAAATTTAGTAGTTCTAGTTACACTCTGCTTTATACAAATATTTTTACATATGTATACAACTGAAAATTTTGGATAATATTAAGTAGACAATTGATGGAAGCAGGAGGGGCATCCACTTCCTACATAACATGTCTCTGGAAACTCTATGAACTTTGATAACCATTATAGAAAGTTATAGAAAGGCTTCAGGCCTATTTTCATAGGGTCGCTATGAGTTGTGCTCAACTCCATGGCAATCAACAGCAACAATAACAACAATTGATATATTATCTCATTTTCATAGCTCATTAATATATCAGAAAGCTTCTCTGAATTGTGAAAATCAGTAGGGAGCACGATCTTTGTATTACTCTATCACAAATTCCTCTGGAAGAAGAACCTAGATAACTTCCCAGTATGATCAACTAATTAAAAGACTCACACAATGATATGATCTACTACGCTGAACATTAAAAGATGAGAAAAAAAAAAGACTCATGGACAGGCACACAACAAAATTTTATTGGCTTGAACGGAAAAGTTCTAATTGAAGACTGGATCAGTGTGTTCTGACTTAATGCTTACATACATTAAAATCTTTTTTCTACCAGTGCTTCTTCTTTTCACAATAAAGCCATCATTTGCAGTTACCTGATAGAATTTGCATGTGTCAAAACACTGGGCAAACACAACGTGACATACACAACTGCATTCACTGAGATAAAGACTCCAATTTCATTTCCTTCTTTGCTAGAGATATTTCAATTATGATTTGAAAATAAAAATGCTGATAATTTTGCTGGTTATTTTAACTTCATGAACACAATGGTGTGTCTATATCTGCTTTAACAAAGGTTTCTCAGCAGAGACAGAGCTGACATCCCATAGCCACCCTTCCTGAACTCCAGGTAGTTAACGTCTTCCTTCACTGTTCAGGGATATTTAAACAAGCTGGAGAAGAGTGTTGAATATACCATGGACTGCTAGGAGAACAAACAGGTTTGTCCTGGAGAGGGTGAAGCCAGAATGCTCCTTGGAGTCAAGATTCTGAAGCTTCGTCTGACATACTTTGGGCATGTTGCAAGGAGGGACTGGTCCTTGGAGAGGGACATTATGTTTGGGAGAGTGGAGGGACGACACAGGAGAGGAAGACCCTCGATGACATGGATCGATTCTGTGAGTGGAATGGTGGGAATGAGTTTGTGACAGCGAGGTTGGCACAAGATAGAATGGCGTTTAGGTCTCTTGTATATAGGGTGGCTATGAGTCGCAAGGGACTCGATGGCACATAACAACAACAGCAACATGTCTTGTAAAATGGGCTAGACTTAGCAGTAGAATCAGACAGTGGGAATAGAGAAATGATTCACAGTGTACTTAGAGATTGCTACTGAATGTTTATAAACCTCACTCTAACCTAGGAAATGTGCATCTTGCTGAATGGAAAACTATGTGTATTAACAGATTGAAAGAAGTGATTATGAAGTGTCTGAAAGTCTCTGACCAGAAAGAGTTGGCTATTACAAGAGGATCGGTATTATTTTCCTTTTGGCCAAAAAAAAAGGTGAGTTTTGGAGCTCTGGGGCACCCTGAAGATTGCATGATGTTACAGTGTCAGCTTAGACAGTAAAACAAAGAGTGACTGAAAGAGTGTAGTAATTCTGGACAGCAGATAACGAGCCATCAATGTCCTACTTTAGCGTAACCCAATTGGGTGGACAAGAAGAGTAGGATTGTGAGCACCAAGAATCCATGGCAAAGGAAGTGTTGATGAACACCCACAGCAGACTAGTTTTGATAGGATGTGAGGCATCTCTCTTTTCTGACATCCCTCCGCCTTGATAACCTTGAGATCGAGGATGGATGATGTTGTGGGAAGTTGCCGAGATCCTACCTACATAGTTGAGGGAAATATGGATCAACAGACCTGCGGACAGATCATGAAAGTGAGCTTCCTTTGGAATTCAAAGGGTAGAACCGAGAAAAAGTTGGGATACATTGTCAGCATGAGGAACTTCCAATAGGCCTAACAAAAACACACACCTGCTATATTTGATTTGCCCCCACCCCCAGCAATTAAAATATGTGCACCATGTAAGAGCAAAGCTTTGATAGATACCTAAACTGCAAAGTGTAAATACCATGTCATCCAGGTCATTGTGTCCTCAGTCTTTGGCAAATTGACATGCATTCAAAAGTGCTTCAAATTGTTGACAGGATAATAGCATTGAATGAATCAGTGAATCAATAAGCTTACCAGCTTCTATGTGGAATTAAGATCTGCCAGCTGCTCATGGGCGAAGGTTGGGCAATCTCCTTCTGCACAATTATTCCCTCTGAAAACCCGCTGGAGGGTTAGGTATGGGTCTGTTCAGACTCACTGATACACAATAACAACAAAGATATAAAGGAAAATAGAAAATGTTTAATATACTACTTATGTGAAACTGTTCATCATATGCTGCACCAAGTGCATTTGATTAACTTCAAAATTACATACTTGTTTATGTCACTGCTTTTCCAGTAGTCACAGAATTTGTCTTGAATACTTCGTTAAAGACCTGTGTCTTGACACCCGACAGGGCTAATGAATGTAAATATATACAGGTTGTATAAGTTACCTGGAATTATCAGCGGCTTATTAGGAGTCAATACAATGATGTAAAACTAGAAATCCATCATTCACATTCCTTCAAGACTCCATATTAAATACAGGGTTTTTAATTGTCTCTACCCTTAAGGTATATTAGTATTCAGGAATAAAACAACTTAGTCCTCATTTCCAGTTCTGTTTTGTATTTTTCATGGTCAGAATTGTAATACAGTACACTATCAACTGCAAGGTGCCTGCACACTAACCACACATAAATAGGTAAAAATGCAAATTCGTTGTATGGATCTTAGAAGGAAGAATGTGGCAAGATTGTAATCACTGTTCTGGAACCTGCGTATGTGTAGGGTCACATACTCATTTGAGAAATCTAGAGAGAAGCTGAATGGCTTCAAGCTAAGTTTTCCAATACTGGAGCCACTAATCACATGTAATTAGGAGAAATCGGCTGACCAAGCGGTAAGGAGTGGCACTGTTAACCCAAAGGCAGGGAGTGTGAATTCACCGAGGCATCCATGGGAGACAGGTTGACAATATTCTCATGGGTGTTTTGTAGCCTCTGGAGGATTAGCAATGAGATGGTTCCAACTTGATGGCACATAACAATGCTCACACGTGATTATCAAACACTTGAAATGTGGTTAGTCTATGCCATAGTGGGTCAACGTGTGGAGCTGTTCACTGAAAGGTCAGACGTTTGAATCCATCAGCTGTTACATGGGAGAAGGATAACACATTTTACTATCATAAAGATTTATAACTATAAATGTAAAGAGGGGTCATCAAGAGTCAGAATCAATCAGATACCAATTTGTTTCTCTAAGTGGATATAAAACAAACGCTGGATTTTTATGGCAATCTGAAAAGCAATAATACAGTATCTTAATATATGTTGTAATTATATTATTTTGGATATCTGAACTTAATAAGATATGTTGCTACTAATTACACATATTCCTTTTTACTTTATTTAAACATGCCTTCAAAAAAGATTTAAAATTACAGATAAATCTCACATTGTAGCTTGAATTATGCTTATATTGGATAGTATTGGTTTGGAGATGCCATCAAGGACATGAGTTCTAGTTTTTATTTGTGTATTGAGTTTTTCAATGAGAATTTGTGAAACTTTAGTCAGATGCCAACCATTGAGCAAACTATGGCTTTAATTGTAAGCCATTAACTATGTGATATATGGCTCAAACCTGGCTTCTGATACTTTAAAACCGGCTTCTCTCTTATCTGCTATTGCAGAAAATTCTATCCCTTGTCATCTTTGGCCTGGATTCAGGTGTCTGTTTGGTGTTCATTTCTCACTTGACTCACTAAGAAAATAATGTCATCATCTCATGCCTGAGTACTTTTTGTGGATACATAACAAAGTATTTGGGCCTCTGATACCACAGTACTTGGATTATAATTCTCATGTAGTCTCAAGTCGAGTACGGAAATGCAGAAATTAAATTACCACACAACCTAAAACTGTGACTATAAACCATGTTAAACACTACAAAGAAAAACTATAAAGAGGAATTAAATCTCATCTACAGGTAAGAATTAAAGGATGAGTATTATGGAAGCAGATACGTAAGATTTATAGTAAGGAAGAAATGGAGACAGAGGAAAAGGTCTCCAAGTAGAAGAAAGAATTATGTTTAAAGGCTTAAGTTGAGAAACGCCACTCAGCCATGTAGGATCCTCACAATGATTGTTATCTGAGCCTGTTATAATATTCCAGATCTCTGGTGCTCAACCCAGTAAGGAAATAATGTCATCATGTGGTACTTAGCTCTTTTATTAGTGCTTCAATAGAGAGAAAGCATTACCAAACATAGGTAAGGAACGCCTGTGGTGGAGATACAGAACACGACAATGGGAGGAATACCTGAGATTAGTGGGCCGTTTACTGCTCAAAGTATCCTCTGTTGGCCTACACCATTGCTATTTCTGGGAACCCTTCCTTGCCTGACCTACTAAATCAGTGTTTGCATTTAAACAAGATCTCTATTTGACTTATATGAAAATTAAATATTGCAAAATAGCTATCTTAAAATTGACTAAAAGTTTTAGTCTTAATGCTTACAGGAATGGGGGTTATTGCTGGGTATCTGTACCTACAGATTATTGGTTATTGGAGTGTTCAAATATATGCGATTTAAAGTATGACACTGGATGTAGTGTAGAAGAATGAATAGGAATGGATGAACACAGTAGAATTACAAAAATCAGATAGATCAATACAGTGGTGGAAAAGTCAACAGTAACATGAGCTAGGATGACAATTTTCTTTCTATATAAGTGAGTGAATTAAGAGACATTTAGATGGGAGAATCACCTGACTTTGGACATAAAATGGTATTGTGGGCAAAAGAGATAGTTGAGTGAGTTCCAAGATCCTAGTTTAGAACTCTTGACGATTGGAGACAACTTTTACCAATCTGTGGGACACTACATCAGTACCAGATTGGAGGGAAAGGGGGAAGTAAATGGGAAAGACCCGGGTGAAAAGACAGGGTCATGACGGGAAAGCTCCAATAGTGATTACTTTTATAAAGCATAATGCGTGAGAATGATTGTATGAAAACACAATGTGAATGAAGAATAGTGTGAAACACAATGTATTTAAACTTTGTAAGCAAGCTAATAATAATAGTAATTAGTAATAACAATAATAATAATGTTGTTGTTGTTGTTCTGTGCCGTCGAATCGCTTGCGACTCATAGCGACGCTATGTACAACAGCCCTAAACTCTGCTCTGTCCTGTGCCAATTGCACTGTCTCTGACACTCCCATCCCAATTATCCCAGTCACTGAATCAATCCACCTCATAGAGGGCTTTCCTCTCCTATGCTGTCCCTCCACCCTCCCAAGCATGATGTCCCTCTCCAAGGACTGGTCTCTCCTCACAACATGTCCAAAGTATGTTAGACGGGGCCTCAGAATCCTTGCCTCCAAGGAGCCACCCGGTTTAACCCTTTCCAGGACAAATCTGTTTGTTTTCCTAGCAGTCCATGGTATTCTCAATACTCTTCTCCAGCACCACAGCTCAAAGGCATCAATTCTCCTTCTATCCTCCTTGGTCATTGTCCAACTCTGATGCATAACAAGTGATTGCAAAGACCATAGCCTGTATCAGATGCACCTTAGTCTCCAGAGAGACACTATTGCTCTTCAGTACTTTGGAGAGGTCCCTAACAGCAGACTTTCCCATGGCAATGCGCCTTTTAATTTCCTGGCTGCTGGTGCTAAGACTGTTGTACGCCAGGGATGCATCCTATCTCCATACCTTTTTAACCTATATGCAGAACAGATTATCCAGGAGGCTGGGCTCTATGAGGAGAAATGTGGGGTCAAGATTGGTGGACGATTTATCAACAACCTGCGTTATCCGGATGACACTACCCTGCTTGCTGAAACTGAAGAGGATCTGAAGCGCCTGCCGCAGAGTGTCAAGGACTGCAGCCTGCAATATGGATTGAAGGTCAATGTCAAGAAGACAAAGATTCTCACCACTGGACCAATTGGCAGCATCAGGATGGATGGTGAAGAGATTGAGATTGTACACAGCTTTAGTTTGCTTGGCTCTGTAGTCAACAGTCTTGGCACCAGCAGCCAGGAAATTAAAAGAATAATAATAGAACTAGCTAACATAAAAGCCCATGTTAGCCTTCTTAGAGAAAATATGTGTTTCCTGGCATAACAAATAAACCTCAATTTCACATTGTGTGCCATCATGCCAGAACTGACCCATAGCTGACCCTCCAGCAGGTTTTCAGAGGTAGTTAATCCATGGAAGGAAATTGTCCTTCTCCCTCCCAAGAAGCATCTGGTGGATTCCAACCATGTGCCTCTGTGATTGCAGCACAGCTTTTTTTCTACTAGGCCACCAGAGCTCTCCGATAGATTGATGGAGTTACAGATTTTCTTTCCCCATATATTCCCTCTTAAGTCAATAAGTTTTCTCTCCTAATTGGGGTGTGTGTTTTTTTTGTTTGGGTTCCCCCCCCCCTTTCTCACCTGCTTGTGTCTCTGCATTTACTTGCTTGTTTTCTCCATCTAAGTCCTATTTACTGGGCTGTGCACAATGTGAGAGTGTGTGTGTGTGTGTGTGGCTCTCAAAGACAAGGTTGAACTGATTGTGTTTTGAGGGTGCTTAAAATTGTACAGAGAAAGAAGATTTGAAATGGAACCTTTATTCCTGGCTCTTCTTGTTTTTAAGAAGCGAACTTCTAGAAATTTACTAATCTGAAAAAAGAGGATATTTAACAACAAAGGTTTTACAATGCTGTAATGGAGATAAAAGTCAATGTATATACAAATGCTTTAAAAATAAA